GCTTCCTTTCTATGATAAAGTGGTATGTGCTTGAAAGGCATCAGTATTACTGAGAATCTCTTCGAAGCAAAATAGGCTGAATGATCCCAAGAGGCCTGTATATACCCAATAGTTTCCTGAATTATCTAGACTTTCAGTCTGCAAGGAAGTGTAAATGTATCTACCAATACTTTCCTTCTGGTCATAGTTGGATTAGATGCATAGTAAAGATGTTAGGTGCTGAGAGCTCACAAGTGAAATAAATACTCATCCAATTTGCTATTTTGAGATGAAATGACCAAACTTAAAAAGAGATTGTCAGGGAAGATTAAAAAGCAGACTAATACCTTGAGAATGAAAATGAACAAACTTTAAAAGAGATTGTCAAGAGAGATTATAGGGCGCAGTAAACACTATGAGGCTCAATTCATTAAGTTTTAACACATATGCTATTTACCACAACAATCCTTATTTTCAGCTATGTGACTGTTATTTTAAGGTCTCATTGCCCTCAAATGATTGTTATGGATTAGTAAATTAAGCCTAATGTATTCTAAATAATATAACATTGCAAACAACTGCAATAAGTGTTTCACATGTCTTACTTGGTGGCTCAACACTTGCATAATATTTCAATAGATCCTTTCATAAACTCATAATAACTCCAGCCCATATGCTGCACCACAATTAAAATACATCTTTAATTAATGAACATGAAAAATGTGTTAAATAAAATGTGTTAAAAAATAAAGAAACATTCCCCAAGAACCCTCGTATGTGCATACATAAACTCCATAAACCTATGTATCAATAATGCTTTAAGTATATCTAAAGCCATTTTTTAAGTTTTATAGAGTAGAGTGGGGTTAAAATTGCTGTCAGTATTTGTTTTCCATCTGTGTCTCATTAGGGAGATTTCCCTTCACTTGCTGTCCTGTAGATTCAACCGGAAGTGAGAAGATAGCTTTCCAATGTAATAAAGTTAAGGTGCCCACACCTTGCGATAATTGTACGATAATCGCGGGAAATCCCACGATCGTACGATTATCGTAAGGTGTGTGGAAGCCGTGCGACCTCTACTACTGTAGGTCAAGCAAAACAAATGACAAACGCACTCAACAATTTGTCACCAACTATACAGTAAGGTGCACACGAAATGGGCTTTAAACAGTAAACAGTAGAAAGGTATCATGGCACACTCACAAGTCAGCATGTAAAAAAACTTGTCTCACCACTAAGGTTAATAACAGAGGTTTGGATACACGTCTTCTGCAGAAAATGTGAAGGTCGCACAGCCGCGTCAAGGCACCTCTTATAGTGCGGTCCTGTTATTAACCTTAGTGGTGAGACAAGTTTTTTTTACATGCTGACTTGTGAGTGTGCCATGATACCTTTCTACTGTTCTCTACTACTGTAAGGTTGCACGACTTTTATCTTACGAACATGTTCGAAAAAACCCCGCTGCATGTTCGTAAGATAAAAGCCAGACAGGACGCAAGCGCACACTGCCCGTTCGGCATTGCGGTCATCGGAAGCCCGCCCCTCAGCGGGGCGACCTTGCGATCATCGCAAGTACGATCTGCCTGTCCAAGATGGGCAGATATTAAGTTCTTTTAATTACCTTACTAAATGTTTGTTACATTTGTTGTTAGTTATTCAGTTCCCCTTACTTGGGGGAATATACCCCCATATATTGGGTATGGGCATGCTCTTGTTATGCACACTATATTTCTGAGGTAGACACATGCTCAGAGTGTCTGTGGCATAATAAACACTGGGTAGCTCTCCCTAGGATAGATTTTTTATTGTTTATGGATTGGTAGGGGAGCTTGCCATAAGCAGATGTGTCCCTAGCTTTAAAATATATTGTGGCAGCTAAGCTGTAGTCAGCCTAGGCTTGAATTGTTATAGCCCCGCTTTCATAGGGTCTTTCCTAAGTTCAGGGTATTGTTTGCTTATGCTTGTTGCAGAGGAGTGGTCCTCAACAGATACTGTAATAAGAAACAATAATATTATTTAGATTTATGTCGCCCTGACCAACCAGTACGAGATTTATCCCCTAACACAGTGCATGCTGGGAGGATATAAATATTTAGGGTTGCCTTGCTGAATTGGCTTCCCTCTTAGGGCTCTGCCTGGACAGGATGTCAGTGTATGGAGATATTTTGTCTCCCAGGCTTGCTGCTGGGAGAGGTCTATGCTGAAAGAGTAGGCCTGTGTTTTAGGGGCCTAGATGTTTTGTTCTGCATTGCCAGAGGATACACCCAGAAAGAGTGGACCAGGAAGATGAATGCCTGTGTAAAACATCTTAAATAGTTACTTTTCTGCTGTGTGATATCCAGAGTGTCCTGGATATCTGGGTGCAAGCTGCTGCTTGTAGACAGTGCAGGAAGGTCTGGCTGCTCATCCTAAAGGTATTTGTGCCACCTAAAGCTGCTCACCAGTCTTTATAATATAGATTGCCAGTCCTGGCCTTAAGTCCATTATTTCTGTATTGAGAAGTTGAAGTCTGGAGTTGTAGTTTGTCACTTTTGGATATCCTGTGCTCTAACCCTCTCTCTTTGGAATTTATTATGTCTTAACATACTCTTTTAATGTTCTAATGTGATGGGCACCCAATTGCTTGTACCTCTGCAATAGTCAATGATTACACCCTGAGATTTAATATGCTAGCCCACTTAGGTGTTTGGGGGTGTGTTAGTTGCTGCTGTCAGAATACATTTTTTTCTTCCTACTATTCTCTTTGTAATAGAATAAGAGGAAAACCAAAAATCAGTGTCTGTTAATATAGCAGATTAAAAAATATAACACTGTAAATCTGGTTACATTATACTGCATTTGGTGTAGTGTCGGCAGGATCTCCTATAAAAATGGAATTGTGGATAAGTCAGTCAATTGCCGGGGTCTCTGGAGGCACACCAGCAGAAACAATACCAACATTGAGTGGAGTGCCCCGTGACCTTACAGTGACATTAAACCCTCAGATTTTTTAACATAAACCAATACTGTAATGTGTGCCTTACTGTAATCCTTGGTTGTTTCCCTCCCTCTTTGCTGCTCTTCCTTTTAAATAATCATGTCTTCTCATGCTTGGGGAGAACTTCCCTTTTCAGCTCAGGGCCTCTTCCTGTAGTGCTGGCTCAGATTACAAGCTTATACAAAACGTATACACAGACACCGTGTATCCATTCCAGAGACAAGGCAGTCTGCTGCAAAACAGAAGTTCTGCAGAGCATGAGAACAGATACAGATTTAAAAGGAGGAGCAGTATAGAGAAGGGAAACTACCATGGATTACAGTAAGGCACACATTACAGTATTGGTTTATTATCAGTGTCTGTTAATATAGCAGATTAAAAAATATAACACTGTAAATCTGGTTACATTATACTGCATTTGGTGTAGTGTCGGCAGGATCTCCTATAAAAATGGAATTGTGGATAAGTCAGTCAATTGCCGGGGTCTCTGGAGGCACACCAGCAGAAACAATACCAACATTGAGTGGAGTGCCCCGTGACCTTACAGTGACATTAAACCCTCAGATTTTTTAACATAAACCAATACTGTAATGTGTGCCTTACTGTAATCCTTGGTTGTTTCCCTCCCTCTTTGCTGCTCTTCCTTTTAAATAATCATGTCTTCTCATGCTTGGGGAGAACTTCCCTTTTCAGCTCAGGGCCTCTTCCTGTAGTGCTGGCTCAGATTACAAGCTTATACAAAACGTATACACAGACACCGTGTATCCATTCCAGAGACAAGGCAGTCTGCTGCAAAACAGAAGTTCTGCAGAGCATGAGAACAGATACAGATTTAAAAGGAGGAGCAGTATAGAGAAGGGAAACTACCATGGATTACAGTAAGGCACACATTACAGTATTGGTTTATGTTAAAAAATCTGAGGGTTTAATGTCACTTTAAGCCAGTCTGGAGTTTTTCTGCATGTTGAACCTCCAGTTTTTGCATTTTACCCATAAGTCGTGCGAGAATGCAAGAACATTTGTTTTCATTGAAATTAAACCAGTGAGGTTGTTCAGGGTATGTCAGTTTTGGTGCCATGTAATTTATCACACCGGATGAATTTGTTGCACTTGAAAAACTCATTTGTCCTACTCGAAATATGTAATGGCCCATTCCATTTGTCCCTGCTGCGATCAGCCACATCTTCCCTGCTGAGACTATCCACATCTACCCCTGCTGCGATGATCAACATTTGTCCCTGCTATGATCTACCACACCTTCCCTGCTGCGATCCTCTGCCCAGACATCAGGCCAGCACCCCGGAGCAGAGCAGCAGCACAGAGTATGTTGCAAATGCATATACTATTCTGCATAGCTATATAATGTATTGCTGAGATTTGTAGTCCTCTATAGCCGGTGGTATTATTCTGCATTGCTGTATAATGTATTGCTGGGATTTGTAGTCCTTCATAGACGATGGTATTATTCTGCATTGCTGTATAATGTATTGCTGAGATTTGTAGTCCTCTATAGAAGATGGTATTATTCTGCATTGCTGTATAATGTATTGCTGGGATTTGTAGTCCTTCATAGACGATGGTATTATTCTGCATTGCTGTATAATGTATTGCTGAGATTTGTAGTCCTCTATAGCAGGTGGTATTATTCTGCATTGCTGTATAATGTATCGTTGGGATTTGTAGCAGGTGGTATTATTCTGCATTGATGTATAATATGTTGCTGAGATTTTGTAGTCCTCTATAGCTGGTGGTATTCTGGAGTGTTGTATAATGTATTGCTGGGATTTGTAGTCGTCTGTAGCCAGTTACCATTCTGCTTTGCTGTATAATATATTTGATGGGATTTCTAGTCCTCTATTAGGGTACAGATAGGGATGCACTAATACACAGGAGACTCAGGGAGTGCTAATGGTCCATGGGGTGTGGGCGGAATACTTGCCTTGCCCTAGGCGCTGACAACCCACGCTATGCCACTGGATGTTAGTACTTCTATGTGCTCAGTAAAGAAGTCTATAATTTGTCAATGCTATATAAATATAGTGAATAAATAAAGGTAAGATGTAATTACTGAGAAAAGGAGTGTATTAGTGTTTATTTCAAACAAACAAGTACAGTCTGACAATTTAAATATACAAACAGCTGTGTCATAGCATGACATAGGCGGATGAGATGTTCTGAAGTGGACGGCCTTCATCCTTTGTTTAGATGAAGAGTTTCCCCTTCTAAGAATTAATCATCAATGATTGGTGGGGGTGCAAGATGCAATTGGAAGTTCTCATTCTGAAAAACACTGCTTGATGCAACACCCCCATAGGATGGATGATATGATAAGGATTTTTCTGGGCTCTGAGAACGGCATAGTTCTGTCAGTAAAGCCAGCTGCAAGACATTAAAAAGAAAATACATGCAGTGAATAGATCACTAATATTTCAGAATGATAATAAGAACTTGCTGGTCTCAATAATGCTTGGGTAAGTATGAGTAATCTGTAAGTTACACATTCCTTCCTTGTCCCTTTAACTGTGTGGTTTAGATACTATTGGTCATATGCTCTGCTTTATTTGAATTGCAGTATGTGGTCCCATAGACTTCTATGGGCATAAATACTTTAGTTCAGACAATGGCACTAGGACTGAGTAGCTGAGGCTAGCAGCTAAACTGTGCGAGAAGGGAGAGTTCTCTTCAGTATTTCCAACATGACACAAGGGAGGCAAGTATACGTAACACATTAATTTTGGTAGGTAGGGACCAGCTTTGTGGAGTTTTCTTTTGGTGTGTATGTTAAGCTAACTTAACTGACTGACTCTGCCATGCACAGTTATTGGCTGCCTTTTGTATATATACATGGTTGCTTGATACTGCACAGGTATCTCTACCATAAAAATTGTATTTCACATCTGTGCAAGCATGGAACTGTGTGCTGTGTTATTGGTGCATGCACGGAATTGTCAGCGCCTCAATACTTTCTGTGATTTTGCACATTGCTGCATTGATAATGCTGTTGCCCATGCCACCATTACTACAGAACCCTCGCGGCTATGCTGTTGAAACTCAGGTGTAAAATAAAATCTTTATTACCTCTTAAATGTCAAATGCCCATTAAAATGCACTCAAAACATTTAAAAATACCCACTACTACTACTACTTAACATTCTCTTTTATTATTTTGACTTGCACATCTCTATTTCAGTCTGGAACTAAGGGGAAAACTAAAACACCTATTTACTTCCTATATTTTTCTTTTACAATAACTATAGGGATGTACCGATACCAGTATCGGTGCCGGTATCGAGTATTTGGCCGAGTACTTCTACATGTCCATATGCTCCTGATGCCTAGCCCAATAACGGAACTTCCAGTATCAGGAAGCTAGGCAGCATGTCATTACACTTGCTCCAGCCGGCTCCATCGTCACCAGAGAGCTGGCTTCCCGGCCAATCAGGAAGCCGGGCTCCGTGTAATGACTTGCCACCTGACTTCCTGATTGGTCGGGACCTGGCCAATCAGGAAGTTAGGCGGCGAGTCATTACATGCCGCCCGCCTTCCTTAATGGGACTTCTGGTATCAGTATTGGAGAGTACCAAAAAAAGAAATATCGGTACTCGTACTTGATACTGAAAAGCCGGTATCTGTGCATCCCTATAGGAATTAATAAAGCTTTAATCAGCTCAACTATTCTTAACAAATTATTTTTCAGTGTCAAAAGTTCCTGCAACCAAAAATACAGCACCGAATTGTTCCCAGGTAAATAATGTACTATACATACGCTGCAATATAGGTTAAAATCAGCCTTGAAATATAAAACTTGTTTGGCAAAGCCTAATGAAGCAAAAACTCATGTTAGTACCACTACTAACTGGGATTAATCTTGAATAAAGCTCATAGACTGCATGAAGTGAGGCTTTGTAGCTCACAGAAACTCATAAATCTGTCCATAAATACTATCAGCCCGGCCAGATGAGCCATTTAGGGTTTGATAGTTAGAAATGGTTATTAAACAAGTCAATGGTCCAAATAACAGAGAGGGGTGCCATGAGACACTTACAATGTACAACAGCACTGTGAGTGAGCAGCTGCTTAACAAACTATGGACAGAAGCGGCTACAAGTACAAAATTACATACTAAAATAAGAGATTTTAGAGCTGCAACACTTTAGCCAAGCGGTTCATTGAAAGGAAAACAATACTGTCTCTTTTGGTCTGTTAAAAAGCGCATTGAAAGCATTTGGTTTTATCTGTGTTTTATGTGCAAAAAATACCTGTTGATCCTGCCAGTTATCTTGTGAATTGATAACTTCCTTTGTTCTCTGCCTTTACTGCATTCATATTTTACATTGTTCCCAGCGATCTCTGGGGACTACAGAACACCACCTCCAGGGTATAGTGCAGAGAAGGAGGAGGATGTTGTGTAGTACCCTCCTAGGGCGATGTTTCTTCTCCTTAGATACAGTACTGTGAGTGAGTGTTGTCACTCAAGGACAGGAAGTGTGTTGTTAGCAGGATCACAAGGTGAATATAATGAAACAAATATACTGCTCCTTTCAGCGCTAGGAGGTGAAGGGAATACCGGTAATTCTGGGTATGGAGGAGCATGTCACTCACTCCATGTGACAGTACTGAGCCAATCAGCATTGCCACACAGGGAGACCACAGCTCTTTGTAAGTGTTAACGCTGGCAATTTGTAGCTTGCACGGGACTTTTCATTTGCTCCCAGCACCTGAACGGAGTGGTGAGGGGAGTAAAAGTAAGGTAAGTTTGTCCTGCAGGGGAGGGCTAAGTTAAAGTGAACCTGTTGCTTCAAGCAGTATGGACAAAGCCCTGGTCTACTTTAATTCTTTTAAAATGCTTCTAATAAGCAATGGTAAAAGGATAAAATAGATTAAAAAATACATTTATTTGAAATGTAAAAAAACCTTTTTAAACTTTTTGTTAGGGATGCACAGATACGTTTCAAGTACCAGTGCAGTAACTTGGCATTTTCATGAGAACTACCAGGGTTGCAGCGGTTGCAGCAGGGACCTGGCTCTGTCGCTCCACCACTCTCCTGAAATCATTAGTCTGTATTGTTTTAGAAAAACTGTCACATGACAACAAAAATGTCTCAGTACTCGTATGTGTGAGTACTTGGGCAAGTATCAGTACTCATACTTGCAAAAATGGTATCGGTGCATCCCTTTATATATGTTTATAAACACAAAATCGTACATTAAAACAGAGATGTGCAAATCCCAGTAGCCCCGGATGCTCCTTACAAATGACAGCTGCCTCCTAACTTTTGAATTTTTCTCTAGTCTAGTCTTGGAGCTCAAAAAGTATCTGTAAATGTACTTGTACCGAGTATTGTATCTGGTATCGGTGCATCCTTACTTTTTGTTTTTAAAATAAGAGAAAAGTTTATTGTAATTCTAGTCCTAATACTTTTAAATAGTCAGCAAAGCTCACAAGCAGAGTAAAGAGACTTGTTACCGTACCCGTGAGGTTCCTCTATAAAGACGGCAGAGTTCATTGAATGCCTGCAGCTGTTGTGGGTCGAGGATGGAATCAGAGCTTGACTGAAAAAAATAACAAAAACACAATATTAGCAGAAACAGCTGCTGCTCTGGTAGAGGTGCAAGGAAATGCTGCTGCTAAAATATTATTATTTTTATTATTATTTATTATTATTATTATAGTGATTATCACTATAGAACCATATTCCTTAGACAGAACTGCGAAATCTAACTCAGTTATGGGCCAAGGATGATTTAAGAATTGAAAGTGTATTTCCATTTTTGCAGTCAAATTTAGGAAAACCCCTCCATATGTTCCTTATCTGTTTCAATTCACAAAGCATACTGAAAATAACTTTAAAAATAAATTCTTACCTTTTAGATGTTTTGTTAAATCAGGCAAGATGGATGATTACAGGTGTTTCTTAGTCCTTTCCCAATGGAAAGTCATGGGACTGAAATTTGAGGATTGTGTTTACCTGATAAGCTTCATTAACATACAATGGCCAAACCAACTCTAAATGGACAAGACCCCTCACAGCCCCTCCTAACGTTTAAAAGAAATAGAAGTCATTTTAACCCTTAAAACCCTAACCCAAGTAAAAACAATTTAAACTACAAGAAGCATTTTTTCTATCTTATGCTATCTGAATGGGAACATGTAACAAATATAAAATAGGTGTTATCCCATTTTGGCTGCGAAAGTGGAAATACACTTAAGGTGAACCATGCAGTAAGAAGAATAAAATGGACCCAATACATGCTAGAGGAAAGAAACATGTAGGTGAAAACCACAGCAACCAATCATCTTCTTTAATTATATAACCTGTGTTTTGTAGCATACATCCTATGGACTATACATACACTCAGTGGCCACTTTAAATAAACCGACTCTGTCACCAAAAATAAGAAAATAAATACATAAAAAACATCCTGTAAAATGAGTCTTAAAGAAGATGGGCTACAGACACAAGAGTCTGTGCAAGGATCCACTTCTGTCATGGGTCTATGGTGTGCAATCACCAAAGCTGGATAGTTGGAGATAAATCTTGCATACTCTGACATGAGTGTGCCTGATAAAGTGGCCATTGAAAGAATATTAATCAAATGGCCTGAGTTTATTGGCTTTTGTTCACTTCAAATGGGTTTTGTATTCTCATATAAGTCTATGCAAAACCTGTTTGAAGCTGATCCAAATAACAGGTTGCATGTCAAACACCTTTCAATGAATTCTGAATGATCTCACGCACGTCTGGAACTGATGTCAAACTGATGCCATTGACACAAGCCCAAAAACAGATAAGAACTAGAGCAGCAGATGATAGCACGTCAGAATGTGGGCATTCTCTAAACTGCATCCTAAAGGATACACAAACAATTTGTATTTCTTGCTACTACGGTAAGAGAATTAAAGTATATGTAAACCCAAAAACAAAAATTTTATATATTGCATTTTATCAGATCCTTAGATGTGGTGGCTGCATTTGCTTTTATTTTTTGTCCAGTACTTCCTTTATTTTGACCTGCTATTCTTTTGCCTGCAACATAGGCTCTGTTCTATAGCTGTGGTTCTCAACTGGTGGGTTGCAACCCCGTGTTCAGTGGGTCTCCCACACTGGAACTCGCAGTACCGCAATGCCATGCATTCCAGTGTAGTGCAACCTTATGACAAATATGGGTCCTGAGGTTACACAGGTTGAGAACCACAGGTTTAGAGCGACATCACTCAGTGCACTGTAAAGATAAAGGAGCCTTGTCACCCTAGGCTATTCTCCTTAACCACTTGCCATCCGCCTCCGACGTGACCCCGTCTTTTATATTTTACCAAAAAATTGGGTAATAATAAATGTTTTATCATTTAATATGGGGGAAATTGTTTTTTAAAAAAAAAATTTCGGTAATTTTCCTTAATATAGTAAAAAAATAAAAACCCCAGTGGTGAATAAATACCACCAAAAGAAAGCTCTATCTGTCCCCAAAAAGGGTATAAAATTCATTTCAGTACAGCGCTGCATGACGGAATAAATGTCAGTCAAAGTACCGCAGCTCTGAATACTGAAAAATGGCCTGGATGGGAAGGGGGTTTAACAATGCGGATGTCAACTGGTTAATGGGTACAAAATACAAAAACCTCCTCCTTCCCTCATATCCATTACATAGAGAGGAGATTTTTAGAGTTCACAAAAGATAACTGGAAAAGCTGATAACATTGTTTGAGAGGACAGAAAGCTACAGAGACACTGAAATTCTGACAAGATGCACCCCAGGGGAATTCTGGAGTGCAATGTAGGGCCCAGTGTCAGAAAGTTGGGTCTCCATCAGAGGACATGGGTCTTAAAGCAGGACAATGACCCAAAGCACATGTCAAAAACTGTAAGAAACTCATTGATGGTTACAGGAAGCGATTGATTTCAGTTATTTTTTTTCCATGGGCTGTGCTACCAAATATTAATTGAGGGTGCCAATAATTTTGTCCAGTCCATTTTTGGAGTTTTACCTTTTGAATGTGTCAGGTTTGTTTTTCTCAACTTTTTAGTGTCATACAAATACAAAGAAAATACATAAACATGAGAATGCCTAAACATTTGTAATTGCAACAATTTTCTGCGGGAAGTGGTGCATTATCTGCAGAAATGCAAGGGTGCCAATATTTTTGGCCATGGCTGTATTTTTCTGTACTTGCAGAAAATGTACTTCGCCTGAAAAACAAAAACGAATGCAGCAACCTCATCTAAGGACTGGTATTCTGCAATAAATTAAATGTTTGTTCTTGGGTTTAGATATCCTTTACTACTTGTTAGCACTCACATAATTTGCAACACAGTGCAGTGAATGTTTTGCTACCACTGGGATGACTGGCAAGAGATTACAATTGTGTGTGTAGCCTTAGCCTAATGCTGCCCACATACACACAATCATTTTCTGACCTTTCAACCAGCTTTGATTACAAAAACAAATCAGCTCAATGTAACCTACCACCATCCCTGTGACAGAAATATTGTAACTGTTGGGGATAGGTTGCCTTGATCTTTACAATTGTTTCTGCACTCCAAAGCCAAATAAAAATAGTTGAAATGGGTAGAAAATTGCTGTGTGTGGTCAGCAAAGGCCTGTACTGTGGACTGGCTTTGACCACACTCTGTACAGACCGAGGGGGTGACTGGGATATTGTAATGGAATTTATTTGTAGTGATTCCACTCAAAACATCTATTTCAGGCACCAATAAAAAGATACCAGTTGGTTGATTCAGTCCACCAGTAGCCAATAAAATAGAAATATCAACTCTGGGTCCACTTGTGCTTAAAATGGTAAAACTGCTGTCTCCGGAAGGTTACACTTTGACACAAGATTTTTTTTCTTAAGGAGTAATTGATGTTTACTTTAATCAATGGAATGGATATTTGCTATCGGGATCTGAAACAAAGCATTTCTGAAAGTTTCACACTAAATATGAAGCCCATTTAAGTAGAAAGCATCAATTTTTCAGTTAAATGTAGACGCTGTCAAAGCAAGATAACCGGCTGTGTGTTTACATTCATATTGCGGAAACCATATTCCTGACTCGTGCCCTCTCCTTTCATCCACTGGCTGGTAGTAATCTGTGTAGCCACAAGCCCCCCTCCACAGCACTGTGAAAATGCAGCGTGTAATTACTTCTTTCTGAACTATTTTCCAATATCAACCTGAGCTCTTTCTCTTCCTGAAGAACGCATCATTTTCCCTGTTGTCATGGTAACATCCCTCCCTCCCTCTTCCTTATGCCCAAGGCCACTTGCTCGCTTTCTGCCCTGTGGATAACGCCAAACACATGCAGAGCTCTGAAGGGCAGTTTTACCATAGTACTGAGCACAGTTCATTCTCAGTTTAGGAGTCAGTGTTTCCCCAACTTAGGTCACTAATGTCTACCGTCACAACCTTTTTATTGCAGAGGTAAATAAATAAATACATTGTGTACCACCCCCTCTGTATGGTACTACTTATTTTGTACTGGTATGTCACTATAGTCCTGTAAAGGAACTCATCCGCAAACTTACCTACTTCCTATATTCTTTAGGGTTGCTTAAAAGTTTCCCCTCCATTGCTATCCAAACTTTCCTTCCGTTGAGAAAGTCACTGTCTAGTAAGTAGACTGTCTTCTTCAAATAGTAATGGAGTCTAAAGAAACAGAAATAGGGATGCACAGATACCGGATTTTCGGTACCGATATTTTTTTCCGGTACTTGCCGATTCCGAATAGCCATACGGGGAATAACATTAAGGAAGCCGAGCGGCGTGTAATGACTCGCAGCCTGGATTCCTGAGTAGCCAGGAAGCCGGGCGGCGTGTAATGACGCATTGCCCAGCTTCCCAATTAGCCGTCTCCATGCTCCCTCGCCACGAGGGAGCATGGAGTTGGCTTTCTGGCCAATCAGAAAGGCGGGGGGGAGGGGTAATGACTTTTCTGATACTGAAAGTTCTGATATCGGGATAGGCATCTGGAGAATGTGGGTGAGTACTCGTACTCGCCCAAAAACAAGGGTATTGGCAGCGATACCGATACCAGTATCAGTGCATCCATAAACAGAACCATCTAGACCAGTGGTTGGCAAACTCCGACCCTCCAGCTGTGGTGCAACTACAAATCCCATTAGGCATCGCAAGACTCTGAAAGCCACAGGCATGACTCCCAGAGGCAGATGCATGATGAGATTTATAGTTTCACCACAGCTGCAGGGCCAGAGTTTGCCTACCCCTGATCTAGACCGTTGGTAACCCTATTTCTTTTTCCAGTCCCTGCAACTGGGTGGATAAGTCCTATGCTTTGATGCAGCATACCTAACACCAGCTAAGCTATCATAATCTCTTATAGAAGTCGAGACTCACATAGTTTCGAATGCCTGAAAATCTACTAAATAGAAATGAAAGCAGCAACACCTAAAAATAACAAAATACAATCGAACAGCATGTTCAAACCAGCAGAGAGTTCTCCTACAGTACTTTTTTTTTGCCACTACATGTCCTATGCCAGAAATCCAGCAGGTCATTCTGGACCTTCCCAAGCCGATGACTGCTCAGTGACAGGAGAAGCAGTACAGTGATGAGCTCATTGATCTCTCTGTCAGCATAAAAACTGATTGGCTCCTTGTGCTGCTACTTCTCACACTCCGGATTTGCTGTACACAGGCAGCAAGAGGCTGATACCAGGACAAATTTATGTACTTACACTGTTTGTATTTAAAAATACATTTAATGATGTATTAATGATTACAGATCTGTATTATTGTATGTCTTTTATATCTGCATAGAGTTCGGCTTTAATACATGCACAAAAATGATTGCTTTCTTTTCTAGGGACACATCAAACCCTTACTTCTCAAGTGGGTAATGTGGACCTAAAGCCTAAATCAATCATCACGCGTCAGCAATTGTTCTTTGTATAGAAGTGGAATAAAGTTTGAATTTGTTTGGAAGATCTTCGTCTGCTGGTTCTACAGTTTTGGAATCATTGGGTTTACTTCTACAGCTCTAACCTGCTTCTAGAAAGCCCGCAGGTAGATAACAGGATTATTTGTCATTGATAGTCCATGTCACGTTCACAAACCTTTCTAATGGCGTTCAGTACAAGCTCCTGTTCCACCCATGAACCTACAAAAGGAGAAGCTTATAATGCATGCCTGAATTTAAATTTCAGCTGTTGTGGGCAGGACTGGACTTGTCTTCTGTCTCCCATGCAAGCAGTTTTTCGATACTTTGACTCATATTATTTCATATAATTCTGTTTTTAAGCCCGAATGAAGGGAGAGTTCTGAGCCCCCGAAGCGCACTGGCCTTATTTTCTGAGGTTTTTTTTAAAGAACAATAAAAAAGGCTGCAGACAGTCAGCAGCACCAAGGTGCAAAAAAGGAGAGAACAGAAAGGGTGAAAAAACTGTTTATGATATGCAGTACTTTAGCAAACTTGTCCTGCAACGTTGTGCTGTCAGGGTTTAGCTCAGATGCGTTTGGGGTTAGTGATCTATTCCCAATCACGTACGATTACATGCAGAGCGCCAGTGGACTGCTACTTTCAAATTCGGCCGCTGTCACCCAATCATTAACTTGAACGGGTGACCGCGGCTGCAGCTAAATGGGAGATTTGGGATTCCTGCCGCAAGAATTTGTAGGTTCCTGCCGTAGGAATCCCAAATCGCATAGTGTGAATGAGGCCTTAGAGAGCTTCTTAAAGTAGATCTATGAGGTGAGTGATTTCCACTCATCCTTATAGTTAGAGCTGACCTGTGACAAAGAAGCTGTCACAGGTCGGCTCTATCGATCGGGAAGTGAGCAGAAACATGCAGCCGATCCGCTTACTTCCAGATCATCTCCCTGCAGAGAGCGTCACCGCTCCCCGCAGGGATTCCCCCCTCTCCAATCCTCCAGTGCTGAGTGGAGGAACAAACAAGGAGGGGGCGGGCACAGCTGGCTCTGCCTCTAGATAGGTAGAGCCAGCTGTCACACAGCTGGGTGGATCCAGACTGTATTGTCGGGATCCATCCTGGCTGCGGCACTCTCAGTATATCGCGGGCAATAGCTTGCGATATACTGAGCTTTGGGGTCACAGGAGGATGTTGGTATATGTCCTCCCGTGACCATGAAGAGAACTATCGGGAAAAACACTTACCCCATAGTTGTCTTTTAAGTAATAAAAAAAAAAAATCAAGAGAGGTACATTGAGAATATAAAGGCTAATTCTACCTTTAATACCATGTTCTATGATACACCCATGTTTAGGGTGTAACATGGGACATGGTGCCATTCCCCAGCTCCCCACCCTCAAATCACTCCCTCCCCACTTACTTAAATCGTGGGGTGCTTCTCCCCGCAGGCTTCTGTATATTTTTTAAATGGGCACAGCTGCGTCATTCAAGTTCCATTTGGCCATCTGATGTCACTGCACTAGTTCGTTGAGAACTTCTTCTATCTCCTTACATGAGGTCTGTACTGGCACTGGAGGAGCAGCCTGCAGGAGTCTGTAAATTGTACCCACCATTCACTGATTGCAGACTCGAATGTGAGAAATTAGTAAATGTTTTCTTTCTCCGAGGTGGGTGTATTTATTAAATTGTTTACAAAATGCTGAATCAGTCTATAGAAAAATAGCTATTACGGGACTGTGAAGTACAAGTGCACTTGTAAAATACCAAAAAAAAAGTGTTACTGTAGGTTATTATATTTTCTATTTTATTGCATGTTATGGTCCTTGAAGAGCAACACCTGTGATCACCTGGGACTGATGGTTTTAGGTTTATCAGTGTTTTGAAAAAAAAAACCTGTATTCCCACCGTCCTGCATAGTGGAAACCTCAGTCATGCTTTCCATGTTAAGATAGTGATACTTTAGTATGTGGTGTCTCATTTTGTATTTGCATCTGTTACTTAGACCCAAAGACATCCTTGAAGAACTCGGATTCATTCTGCATTTAACACCCTGTCATTGAGCAAAGACCTAAACAAATATAAAGTTGTTCTAAGTGCTATAAACGCTGCATATATTCACTAGATCCATATGTAAATGCAGCCAGGCTGACGAGCCAATAAACCTCCCTGTATACACAAGGCTGTGATATTTGTGTGTACACAGAAAACCTCTCCATTCACGTATACCCTTTAAATATTTTCTCTTTAATAAAATATTTATGAACTGCAAATTTTGTTTGGAGAAATAAATAAAAAATGAGATGTGTATCAGTGTGGGAGCTTGGAACATCTGCCAGTTTCCTTTCTCTTTTCCCTTCAAGGGTTTCTGCAGTGAGGGCAATTTCTGATGAGACAAAGCAGTAAACAAGGGTGAATAAAGGCCATTTCAGCAGCTCTGTAATTATCCTGTCTCAGGTGAGATTCTCTACGCTTGCCTTCAGCAGAACGATGCAGCCAGGCAGAAGGATTCATTGTGCATAGGCCGGAACACACTTTCAGAGCTGACCTCCCACATATACAGTATTAGTGTGTATATGAGTGGAACGTGACTATCACGCAATGTATCAAACTGTAAACATCTAATAACCTAAACCACAACCATTTGCTGAACCTGTTTACAAACATATTAAAAGACCAAAGCCCCTTGTAAACCAATACCCAGACAGTAATCTTCCTCCATCTCCTCAGCATCAATAATGAGTCTATCATCTCATACCTCAAGTCATTTAGGGTCCATTCACAACACAATTCTTATTTTATGTTCAAGTGAGCTTTATTATAGATGCACAAGTACATTGTTTGTACATAGTAGTATTGTTCTTACTTATCTATCAAGTGGTGTCAACTACCAAGGTCAGATATAGGCACTTGGGGAGAGGAATTGTGCACCTTTTTTTATACAAAGAAGTGGTATAAAAGGGAAATGTAAGAATGTCACCCTATACATGAGGGGTAACCAAAAAGAGAGAGACATAGAACAGAGGGAAGAATGGATAAAGAAAGTCATTAGTGCAAATTGTGGGGGGAGAGGTTTAGGGAGAAGATGTTCACGTGGCAGCCTTTGATCCTTAGGATGTGTGAAAGAGTGAAGGCCATGCAACTTCAGCAATACAGTATGAAAAAGGACTGATATAAAAAATTAGTTTGGGCAAAAAGAATGAGATCATGGGAGAGTGAAAGCATGGAGATGTTATATTCTTTCAGAGAGGGAAGGCCAAGACGTTTTTTAAACTACTGTGAGCCTTCCATATATTCCATCCAAGATCCCCTTGTAGAGTGGAATTTGTCCACAGAATCTGTCATCAATGGCTATGAAGTGCTCCATGTGCATTATGACATTCAGTATATCCAGCCATTATGTAGCCGTAGGTAACGTTCTGTTCTGCTCTGATCAGCATAGGATCTGTGCACGGATCCCCTGCTGATTGGATTGGACGTGAAAGGGGACTAAAAGATAGATTTGGACTAGGCAGGCGCTTCACTAGATTCTATCTTTGTTAACCGCTTTCCTCCATATTGTATAGTATCAGATCAGGGTT